CCAAACCAACAGCAAACCACTGAATATGAGCTAAGTGTATGTTTTCTAACAAAAATCCACTTTTCTCAGTAATCCTTAAAGAATTGGAAAATTACTTTTCTACTAGTCAATCTAGTACTGATGGAAAAGCTATAAAGACTGTTCAAAGTCTTTGAATGATACTAAGGTCTTATATCTTGGTGAATGTTTTATTTATTTATGTGTGTGTGTGTTTCCTTTACTCCCCTGGCTCCAAAATGTATGTTGTATTGTTTTGTTGTTTAAAGCATTAATAAAAAAATAAAAATAAAGAATCCAGTGAATATGAGCTCGGACTCACCAGCAAACATGAACATATCTGCATGTGCCTGGATCTCCTCGTTCGTGAGTCCCTCGTCGTTCTCATCCTGAACATTACATATATTACCTTAACATATCCATCAGGAACACTTCCCTTAGTTTGGGATAAATACTCTACTGGCCAAAAGTGTGGATTAAAAACACCATTGTTTAAAGTTTAAAGAGTCTCTTCTGCTCACCAAAGCTGCATTTAATTGATCAAAAATACTTTAAAATAGTGAAATATTATTGTAATTTAAAGTATCTGTTTTCTATGTGAATATATAGTAAAGTGTAATTTATTCCTGTGATCAAAGCTGAATGTTCAGCATCATTACTCCAGTCTTCAGTGTCACATGATCCTTCACAAATCACTCTAATATGAGGATCTGATGCTCAAGAAACATTTATGATTATTATCAGTGTTGAAAAGTTTGGGGTCAGTAAGATCTTTTTTTAAAGAAACAGAAATTAATACTTTTATTCAACAAGGATGCATTAAATTTATCAAAAGTGACAGTAAAGACATTTATGTTGTTACAAAATATTCTATTTCAAATAAGAGCTGCTCTTTTAATCAGCATATTAGAATGATTTCTGAAGGATCATGTGAATAAGCTAGGTGTTGGCTTGAGAAAGTTTTAATAAAGTGACTGTAAAAGCTTGAAATGACTCTAATAGGCTTCAGTGAGTTTAGATTAGAATTTTTGACGGTTGAAAATCAAATAAACGCAGCCTTGTTGAGCATAAGATACTTCTTATTAAACACCAACACAACCTTAAAGGGGTCATCTGATGCCCATATTCCACAAGTTGAGATGATTCTTTAGGGTGTTCATGTAAAGTTTGTAACATACTTTGGTTAAATTCCTCAATTGTTGTGTAAAACATCACCCTTTTACCTCCTCAAAAACAGCTGTTCACAGCGACCCGTTTCGGTGTATGTCTCTTTAAGTGATAATGAGGTGCATGTCTCTTTAGGTGATAATGAGGAGCATGTCTCTTTAAATGATAATGAGGTGCATGTCTCTTTAAGTGATAATGAGGTGCATGTCTCTTTAAGTGATAATGAGGAGCATGTCTCTTTAAATGATAATGAGGTGCATGTCTCTTTAAGTGATAATGAGGTGCATGTCTCTTTAAGTGATAATGGGGTGCATGTCTCTTTAAATGATAATGAGGTGCATGTCTCTTTAAGTGATAATGAGGTGCATGTCTCTTTAAATGATAATGAGGTGCATGTCTCTTTAAATGATAATGAGGTGCATGTCTCTTTAAGTGATAATGAGGTGCATGTCTCTTTAAGTGATAATGAGGAGCATGTCTCTTTAAATGATAATGAGGTGCATGTCTCTTTAAGTGATAATGAGGTGCATGTCTCTTTAAGTGATAATGAGGTGCATGTCTCTTTAAGTGATAATGAGGTGCATGTCTCTTTAAGTGATAATGAGGTGTATGTCTCTTTAAGTGATAATGAGGTGCATGTCTCTTTAAGTGATAATGAGGTGCATGTCTCTTTAAGTGATAATGAGGAGCATGTCTCTTTAAATGATAATGAGGTGCATGTCTCTTTAAGTGATAATGAGGTGCATGTCTCTTTAAGTGATAATGAGGTGCATGTCTCTTTAAATGATAATGAGGAGCATGTCTCTTTAAATGATAATGAGGTGCATGTCTCTTGAAGTGATAATGAGGAGCATGTCTCTTTAAATGATAATGAGGTGCATGTCTCTTTAAGTGATAATGAGGTGCATGTCTCTTTAAATGATAATGAGGTGCATGTCTCTTTAAGTGATAATGAGGTGCATGTCTCTTTAAGTGATAATGAGGTGCATGTCTCTTTAAGTGATAATGAGGTGCATGTCTCTTTAAATGATAATGAGGTGCATGTCTCTTTAAATGATAATGAGGTGTATGTCTCTTTAAGTGATAATGAGGTGCATGTCTCTTTAAGTGATAATGAGGTGCATGTCTCTTTAAGTGATAATGAGGTGCATGTCTCTTTAAATGATAATGAGGTGCATGTCTCTTTAAGTGATAATGAGGAGCATGTCTCTTTAAATGATAATGAGGTGCATGTCTCTTTAAGTGATAATGAGGTGCATGTCTCTTTAAGTGATAATGAGGTGCATGTCTCTTTAAATGATAATGATCAACTGCCCCCCCCCCCTCTCGCGTGTTGAATGGCTGAGGGCGGAAATATGCTAATACGGGACAGTCCGTCAGCGGTCGTGGGCGGAGCATGAGCATTATGACATCATAGTGCTCAGAAAATCCAAACGGCTTGATTATTGAGAGAGACTTTTTGAAGATAAAAGATAAAGGAGTGAATTATTTTTTCTTGTATGGTGGTTGTGTCCACACACTGCACACACACATTCATATGCAAACACCATCCGGTGACCCCTTTAAAGGTTGTTGTTAAAACCCGACGTGCCTTTGACAGAAGCAGTAAGTCCACGAGGTCCGTGTCCTTCTTCTTGTATCCTCCGGTGTACTCCAGGTTTTCCGAGCTGCTCTCCGCGGATCCCCGGCGTTCGAGTTGGGAACGCCGTTCTTGGACGATTTCCGCGGTGAACCGGTGAACGATGTCGCAAGCCTTGCGGAAGCGCCGTCCCTGCTCAGAGCGCCAGTATAACCAGTCCCAGTGATACGGCAGATAGTGCTGTCTCTGGACCAGCAGCTTAGACAGATCCAGGATAGCTGCGATGTACTCACTGGGTTTCCTGAGAGAGAGAGAGAGAGAGAGACTATAATACACTAAGACTAAAACACTTCCCAAATATACCCCGAATTCGAATCCATATCAGACACACAGAAAATCCCATATTTACTAGGAGAAATGCCCAAATGTGAGATAATTGCTGCAAAATATGTCTCCTCATGCCATGAAATGAGGACAACCAGTGGAACCTCAGATGGATAATAATTGTACAAATTTTCAAATAATTATTATTTTGATTGTTTGATATTTTAGTAATTGTTTTATTTTATTTTTTTATTGTTCACTTTTATTTATCTATGTTTGTATATGTCTATTGCTTTGGCAATATTGTGCTATTGTACACATTCATGCCAATAAAGCTGATTTGAATTGAATTGAATTGAATTGAATTGAATTGAGAGAGACAGAGAGAGAGAGAGAGAGAGAGAGAGAGAGAGAGAGACATTCAAACCAAAAATGATTCAGACACCAGATATCATTTCATATTGTTTCACTAGTGTGATCAGGACACTATAGTTCATTATGTAAGTGAGGAGAGCAAAATAAAGTAAACTGTGACATATTATACCCAAAACTATCCCTCCACTTTGAGCTGCTCATGTTTTCTTCAGTGTGTTTTCTGTAACTGCTAATGCTCTTTTTACACACACACTGAACAACATGAAGCATTGCTTGGTCACTGGTTGAGCTAAACTGGTATTATCTAATTGTGTCGTTAAATTTAACAGCTGACAGATATTCAACATAATTCATGTGTGAGAGTCTAACAGAAGGACGGACAAAACCAGTCAAATATCCACTGATTTAATAACTCTGAGTTCTGCTCATGTTTATTACCATTTTCTAAACTATAGCAAATAATCTGTGATAATGTGAGAAATGTTGAATGTGTGTGTGTGTGTGTGTGTGACACTGACCCCTGACAGTGACCGTCGCAGCTGAAGGTGCATTTGAGGAGACTGTCCAGAGTCATCGAGCTCATGTGCTCAAACATGTCCAGACCGTTCTGTCCCTCGGCCAGCAGGAGGCGCCATTTACTCTTCAGGAAAACACAACAAACACACGCAACCACAGAAGAAACCGCCCGTCATGCAAAGTTCCTCCTCACACATCTGAACAATCTTCCGTTGTGCAACAACAACACAGATACTGTTGTGAGGACTTGAGTTAACACGCTTAAAACAGGAACAATACACACACACATGCACACACACACATGCACATCTCACCAAAACATGTCCAGATCACTATTTCACTGTCAAATCAGGAGAAATAAGAAATTATCTTTCACTTGAAGCCTATTTTAGGAACATTAATATACATTAATGGGGGAAAATTGGTATGAAAATAATGCCACAATCAGGGATATTATTGTTAATTAAAACTAAAACACAATTTTATGTTAATTTAAATAAAAATAAACATTACCTGAAATAAAATATAAAAAAATGTAAAAGGCAACGATTTTTATTTGTGATTAGTTTAAGTACTTAAATAATTTGGATGGAAAATGTCATGAAAATAATGTCACAATCAGAGTTATTACTGTTAACTAAAGCTAAAACCATTAAAAAAATGTTAAAATTTTTACTTAAATAAAATGAGTTAAAAAAAAAAGAATTAAATAAAAAAAATAATTTAAATTAAATTAAAAACTTTATTTCTATTTAGTTTAAGTACTAAAATAACTAAAACTGTAATAAAAATATTATTTCAATATATATTATTAAATTTAAATATATTAAAATTAAATATAAAAATAAAAATAACTCGTTCAAAATATGAATAAAAACAATAATAGTTCTAAAATAACACCATAAAAACAGGCTTCATTATTATTTCTTAGTTGTGCTTTCGTGAATTTCTTTATTTTACAGTGTCTTTCTTACATGTAAATATAATAACTATAATTTATGCATAACTACATGCAACTAACCCTAAACCAAACCTGCTCCTAACCCTAACCCTATAGTAAGTACATGCAGTTAATTTTTATTCTCAGTACGTAAATGTATGATTACACTGTAACAATGACATCTTAAAATAAAGGGTTACACTTGATTTTAAGTACTGAGTAATATTAACATGTACTTACTACAGGGTTAGGGTTTGGTTGAGGGTTAGTTGCATGTAATTATGCATGATTTACGGTTATTACTATGGTAAGTACATGTTACATATGTAACAAGGACACTGTAAAATAAAGGTTACCAGATGAAAGTGTAACCGCCTCTTTTTCTTCTCTTCTCAGCAGATGAATATCTGTCAGCGGCCGGATGATCTGGTGAGATAAGCGTGTCTGTAAACGCTGTAGTCGTGAGACGTGTTTGAAAGCGTGCAACACATGAACATCAGCAGGAACTGAACCGTCAAAGCTGCGACTCACAGTGTTTCTGCCAGTAAAACAGCTTCCATGGTAACACGATGTGAATGTGTGTGTGTGTGTGTGTGTGTGTGAACGTACATGCATGATGTTGGTGGACTGGTTGAAAATGTGAACATATTTTTTGAGGATGTCAAAGTGGAACGCTGGAGTTAAAAGCTTCCGGTGGCGAGACCATTCCTGACCGTCCTGGAGAAGAAGACAGTTACCTGTAACACACACACAGGAGAGCTTTAGCTGTAACACACACACAGGAGAGCTTTAGCTGTAACACACACACAGGAGAGCTTTAGCTGTAACACACACACAGGAGAGCTTTAGCTGTAACACACACACAGGAGAGCTTTAGCTGTAACACACACACAGGAGAGCTTTAGCTGTAACACACACACAGGAGAGCTTTAGCTGTAACACACACACAGGAGAGCTTTAGCTGTAACACACACACAGGAGAGCTTTAGCTGTAACACACACACAGGAGAGCTTTAGCTGTAACACACACACAGGAGAGCTTTACCTGTAACACACACACAGGGAGAGCTTTAGCTGTAACACACACACAGGAGAGCTTTAGCTGTAACACACACACAGGAGAGCTTTAGCTGTAACACACACACAGGGAGAGCTTTAGCTGTAACACACACACAGGAGAGCTTTAGCTGTAACACACACACAGGAGAGCTTTAGCTGTAACACACACACAGGAGAGCTTTACCTGTAACACACACACGGGAGAGCTTTAGCTGTAACACACACACAGGAGAGCTTTAGCTGTAACACACACAGGGAGAGCTTTAGCTGTAACACACACACAGGAGAGCTTTAGCTGTAACACACACACAGGAGAGCTTTAGCTGTAACACACACACAGGGAGAGCTTTAGCTGTAACACACACACACAGGAGAGCTTTAGCTGTAACACACAACAGGAGAGCTTTAGCTGTAACACACACACAGGAGAGCTTTAGCTGTAACACACACACAGGAGAGCTTTACCTGTAACACACACACAGGAGAGCTTTAGCTGTAACACACACACAGGAGAGCTTTAGCTGTAACACACACACAGGAGAGCTTTACCTGTAACACACACACAGGAGAGCTTTAGCTGTAACACACACACAGGAGAGCTTTAGCTGTAACACACACACAGGAGAGCTTTAGCTGTAACACACACACAGGAGAGCTTTAGCTGTAACACACACACAGGGAGAGCTTTAGCTGTAACACACACACAGGAGAGCTTTAGCTGTAACACACACACAGGAGAGCTTTAGCTGTAACACACACACAGGAGAGCTTTAGCTGTAACACACACACAGGAGAGCTTTAGCTGTAACACACACACAGGAGAGCTTTAGCTGTAACACACACACAGGGAGAGCTTTAGCTGTAACACACACACAGGAGAGCTTTAGCTGTAACACACACACAGGAGAGCTTTAGCTGTAACACACACACAGGAGAGCTTTAGCTGTAACACACACACAGGAGAGCTTTAGCTGTAACACACACACAGGAGAGCTTTAGCTGTAACACACACAGGGAGAGCTTTAGCTGTAACACACACACAGGGAGAGCTTTAGCTGTAACACACACACAGGAGAGCTTTACCTGTAACACACACACAGGAGAGCTTTAGCTGTAACACACACACAGGAGAGCTTTAGCTGTAACACACACACAGGGAGAGCTTTAGCTGTAACACACACACAGGAGAGCTTTAGCTGTAACACACACAGGGAGAGCTTTAGCTGTAACACACACACAGGGAGAGCTTTAGCTGTAACACACACAGGGAGAGCTTTAGCTGTAACACACACAGGGAGAGCTTTAGCTGTAACACACACACAGGAGAGCTTTAGCTGTAACACACACAGGGAGAGCTTTAGCTGTAACACACACACAGGGAGAGCTTTAGCTGTAACACACACACAGGAGAGCTTTAGCTGTAACACACACACAGGAGAGCTTTAGCTGTAACACACACACAGGAGAGCTTTAGCTGTAACACACACACAGGGAGAGCTTTAGCTGTAACACACACACAGGAGAGCTTTACCTGTAACACACA